GGGATCAGCAGTTAGCATAATGGCTATATTGCTGGACTCCCACATAGTTGACCGCAGTTCATGTCCTGGACCCGGTGGCTTGAAATTCATGCTGGGCACGTGTGTATGTGTGCCCAAGATCCCGAGAGGAGAATGGAGAAGGGATTGTTCTGTGGCCATCCCCCCTGGGGGGGTGATTTCTTGCTTTCTGTCTCTCTGTCTCTGTCTGGCGAGCACACGTGCTCTATGGCAAAAACCTCTCAAAAAAATTTGCTATAGGGCACGTACGTGCACTCACTGGAGAGAGAGAGAGAGAAAGAGAATGTACAAGACAAAAAGTGAGAAAGCACCTCCACAGGGAAATGGCCATGTCACAATCCCTTCTCTATTCTCCTCTCAGGATATTGGGCACCCATGAACATGCACCTGGTGTGTTTATTTTCTTTTCTTATTTTTTAGAGATTTTTGCTATAGGACATGTGTGCTCACCAGAGAGAAGAGAGAGAGAGACAGAAAGTGAGAAATTACCCCCCAGTGGGATGGCCATGCCATAATCCCTTCTCCTCCATTCTCCTCTCAGTATTTTGGGCAGGCACACACATGTGCCCAGCATGAGTTTTGAGTCACTGAGTCTAGGACATGAATTGCAGTTGGCCACTTGGGAGTCAGTGCCTTAACCACTACACCACCTTCTGGCCCCAACACCCAGTGTGTTTTCAAGCTGCGGTCTAGGACTTGAACCATACCATTGGCCATGTAGAATTCAGCTGCCTTAACCACCACACCACCAGTTGGCTCCAGGATTTTTTTTTTTTTAACTACCAAACTTACAAAATGAACTTTTATGTCACAGTTTCTGGCATCTGTTTCATCCAAAGTGTAATGTTTGGAAAGCTCTGACACTTCCTACCTACCAGGATTTTCACTATGCAAATCATCTCAGGTTTATTTGTTTTCTGGGTGTAAGGTCAGAGTAATAACCCGGTAGTTTCTCTTGCCTCCTAACATTCACACAGACGGTGAATTTCTTCCCAATGAAAGTCCCAGGCTGGATGGTAGATTCATTCCCACTAGCAAAGGTGACCCTGAGCAAGTGCCTTCCACAACCTTGGGTTCTATTTCCTCGTTTTTCAAAGGAGGTGACTTCATTTCCTGCACTGGGGTGTCTGTGTGGCTTCCCAGTGCCATTGCCACTTTTTTTTTCTTTTATAAATAGTTTGCATTTATACCTTTATTAGGTTCTTTTTCTCACCATTTTTATTCATGATAGTGTGCATACACACAAGTGGGTGAAAGAGAGGGAGCAGCACCCTCCTCCGTGGGGTCTGTCTGTGCCACAATCCCCTTCCTCCAGGCCTTCAGCCTCAGGACCAGCAGTTAGCGTAATGGCTATGTCGCTGGACTCCCAGGTAGCTGACTGCGGTTCAAGTCCGGGACCTGGTGGCTTAAACTCACACAGGGTGCGTGTACATGCATGCTTAAGATCCCGAGAGGAGAATGGAGAAGGGATTGTGGAAGGGTGATTTGTCTCTCTGTCTCTCTCTGTCTTTCTGGCGAGCACATGTGCCCTATAGCAAAAAAAACAAAAAAAACCTCTCCAGTCCTCCAGCCTGTCCAATCTTGGTCACTCCTGCACATGCGTGGAGTATCTCATGCTGACTGACCAGGGGCTTGAACTGTGGTCACCACGTGGGATTTGGCTTCTCCTTAGCTGCTTTACCATCACACCACAGAGCCAGCCCCTACTTCTTTCTGTGTGGTCCCCTGCACGGCAGGAGCTGGACGTCTGGGAAATTACAGTTCCTGTAGACCCTCTGCTTTTACCAATGAACAGTGTGCCTGTGATTTAGACGGTGAGAAAGGGCAAAAATTACGATATTATTGCCTTAGCACAGGTGGGCGGGTGGGTAATGTGTAGCAGGCTGCAGAAAGAAGGTTCTTACATAGGTTCTGGGTGTCCTGCATGTCACCTGCTTCAGTGCTGCTGGTAGTAGAAACCTCTGGTAGCTCCTACATATTGGGTTTCAAGAATATTAGTTTTTCTGCCCTTCCAATAGGTTTTTTTTTTTTCAAAGTTTTTTTGCTATAGGGCGTCTGCACTCACCAGAAAGACAGAGACAGACAGAGAAACAAAGCAAAAAATCACCCTCCAGGGGGGATGGCCACACCGCAATCCTTTCTCCTCCATTCTCCTCTCAGGATCTTGGGCACGTACGTACATGCACCCGGCGTGAGTTTAAGCCACCAGGTCTGGGACTTGAACCGTGATACACCACATGGGAGTCCAGCGACATAGCCATTATGCCAGCTGCTGGTCCCTTTATGCCAGCTGCTGGTCCCCCAATAGTTTGTTTTTAAATAATAGTTTTCTGAAAATATGATTCATATGTACAATTCATCTACTTAAATTGTGCAATTCAATTTCTTTTTCTGAGAGATTTTTCCTATAGGATGCGTGTGCTTGCTGGAGAGATAGCGAGAGACAGAAACAGAAAGCAAGAAATCACACCCCAGGGGAGTTGGCCACACCACGATCTCCTCTCCTCCATTCTCCTCCTGGGATTTTGGGCATGCACACACACGTGCCCGGCATGAGTTTCAAGCAGCTGGGTCTGGGACTCCAACCACAGTCAGCCACATGGGAGTCCACTGCCTTAATGACTTTGCTACCTGCTGGCCCCAATTCAATGGTTTTTACCATGTGTATTCAAAGTGTTGTTTGTGCAATCATCACCATAATGAGTTTTAAAATTTATTTCTACTAAAAATGTTGTTTTTTTCTCTTCATGACAGAGCACAGGCTTGTGAGAGAGATGAGATGAGCACCCTCCACAGGATCGGCTCACACCGCAGTCCGCCGCCACCAGCCCTCCAGCCATCAATCACGGGCACTCACATGGACGCCCTGCGTGCTTCAGGCCAGCAAGGCTGGGGATTTAACTGCGGTTACTGTTTGAGATCCAGCTTCTCCTGAGCAGCATATGACCACTGCACCTTGGCGCTGGCCCAGCCACAATGAATTTTAGAACCTTTTTGTCACCTGAAAAGAAACTTCTACCTGTAAGTTGTTATTCCCCATTTCTGTCCACTTAGCCTTAGAGAAGCCGCAGTCCCCTTTCTATCTCTATGGATGTTTAGTCTGAACATTAAAAAAAAACTCAGAGGGCACATGCTCTGGTCAGAGAAAGACAGACAGACCGCGAGCTACGGAGAGGGAGAAAGCACAGGCGTGGAGTATTCATGCCAGAGTTTTCATGTTGGGGTCTTTCATTCCCACAGGGAGTGGTCACACTATAATCCCTTCTCCTCCATTTCTTTCCTCCGGGGATTTGCGGTACACATGCACATGAGCCTCGTGTGGTTTTCAAGTCACTGGATCTGGAGCTCAAACCACAGGGTCAGTCACATGGAACCCAGATCCTCTGGCCACCAGATCTTGGACTGGCCCCTATTCTGAGCATTTCTTATACATGGAATCCTACAGTATGGTCTTTTGTGCCTGGCTTCTTTCACTTCGCATTTTTTCAAAGTTCTTCCACATTGTGGTTTGTGTGAGTGCTTTGTTTTCCCTGTTTTGTCAAATAATGTTCTGTTATAAGGCTACACTACATCCTATTCATCCATTCATCAGGCGATAGCTATTTGGAGTATTTTCCATATCTTGACTATTAGAATGATGCTGCTACAAATATCCATGTGTACGTTTTTATGTAGATGTATGTTTTCATTTCTCTTGAGTATATGCCTAGGAGTGGAATTGCTGGGTTATGTATGGTAATTCTCTCCTTAACTTTCTATTATTATGTTTATTTTGCTATAGGACACATGTGCTCATGAGAGAGAGACAAAGATAGCTGCCCACAGGGCCGGCAGGTGGCATGGTGGTTAAGAGTGCTGGACTCCCACAAAGTAGACTGTGGTTCAAGTCTCAGACCTGGTGGCTTGTTTTCTCACTTTCTCACTCTCTCTTTTGTTGTGTACTTCTCTGGTCAAATTAAAATAAATGAATGAGTAAATAAATAAACTTAAATAAAATAATTCTATTTTTTTTTTGAGAGGTTTTTGCTACAGGGCACGTGCGCTCGCCAGAAAGACAGAGAGAGACAGAGAGACAGAAAGCAAGAAATCACCCCCCACAGGGGGGATGACCACACCGCAATCCCTTCTCCTCCATTCTCCTCTCGGGATCTTGGGCACGCATGCACACGCACCCTGCGTGAGTTTAAGCCACCAGGTCCAGAACTCAAACTGCGGTTGACTACATGGGAGTTCAGCGACATAGCCATTACACTAACTGCTGGTCCCAATAAAATAATTCTTAAAAAAAAGAAAAGAAAAGAAAAGAAAGCTGCCAGGTCCAGAACTTGAACTGCAGTCGGCCATATGGGAGCCCATTGCCCCGTGCCACCTTCTGGCCCTCTATGTTTAACCTTTTGAGGAACTTCCGGGCTTTATATTTATACCAGAAGTGTATGAAGGTCTGTAAGAAAAAAAGAAAGGTCTGTAAGGTCAGAAAGGAAAACACTACCACCTTATTTTCATTAACCTCTGAATAAAAATGAGCTTCCTTTCAATGAAGAAGGCAGACAACAAGCCATGGTGTATTAGAGACTCCTTAACTTTGTCACAAGTAGAGCCTCAAATACTTTCACATCACATGTTTGTTGCAAATAATAGACTTCAAAAAGCTTGTGGGAAAATGGAATTGAAGTATACGTTATTCTGGTGTAAAACACTTTTAAATCCATGCATAGCTTTTTCATAATCCATATTTTCCATGATCTATTTTGACAACCCCTCATACTTCAAAATACCACTTATGTATGTCACTTCTTCCAAATCACTGTTGTCATTAGACCTACTTCTACAAGAGCTTGTCCTTTAAGGCATTAATAAAGTAGCATTATTTTCCCATACCGCAAATTTGTTTCCATTTGATAACTACATTTCAATGTAACTGGCTCTCTCCAAAGCCCAGTGTATTTACTTTATGTATGACAAGCATTACCCTGAGAAGAGCCCCCTAGGAAGGAGGAAGTCACAGCACGCAGCAGCAGGTAAAGGACGGGAGAAGTGCTGGCCGAGGGGCGGTTCCGAGAACAGGTGTGTGAAGTTCCGTTTCAACATCCTTTTCAGGAGACACAAAATCCTTTGTTGCCACAAGGCAACTGCCCTCTCGAGTTGATCAAAGGCCAACTTAGAGAACAGGATGGAGAAGTGGGAGAGGAATGGGTGGAGGGTGGCAAAGACATAAAGAAAAGGAAGGTCATGGCTGCTGGTCCCACCCCTGCCCTCCAGCAAGTCAGCACTGGGGACTGCACGCTGGGCTAGGGGATGCTGGAAGGTCCGGGCTTTAAATGTCACCCTGCGCCAGCCTCTGCAGCTGTCACTTGCTGGAGAGCTGCCTTGCCATTGAAAAGCTCTCAGGTCCCAATTATCTTTTCTGCAAGAAGGTGGAGCTGAACTTTATGGTGTTTATCTGGATGACTCTGTTGATATTCCATCCAGCCGCAGCTCAGCACTCAGCACCCGCCTGAACTTTGGTTTCCCTGTTTTCTTAAGAAGGCTGTTGTCAAGTCTGGCCATGCATCAAGGACACATTGAGGTGGTGCAACCTCCTTTCTCTGAGTCAGTCCTGGGCAACCAGCAGATGTGGCCAGGAGCCAACAGGAAGGGGCACGGCCAGGGGGGAGAGGCTTCGCCCCAAGACTTGTGGGGTGGCTCAAGTCCTGAACTGTGGTAGGACTAGCTCTGGCTGCAGGGCTCTCCCGTCAGATTGGCTGCCCCAGGAATCTCCCGAGCAGCCCTCAGTTAACTGGTTCATTAAGGAGAAGTGTGATTGGAGGAAGGTGATGCAGTGTGAACAGAATCTCAGGTTTCTTGTTCGATAAAGGTGATGTTTGCAGTGAACAGTGTACTCTTTATTGCTAGATATCCAGTGCTGTTAAAAACTATGTATTAGGGACCAGCAGGTGGCATAGTGGTTAAGGTGCTGGACTCCCTCATGGTTGACTGCGGTTCACGTCCAGGATCTGGCAGCTTATAACTCATACTAGGCATGCATGCATGCCGAAAATTCTAGGAGGAGAGAGGAGAAGGGATTGTGGTGTAGCCAACCCCCCAGGGGATGATTTTTCACTTTCCTTCTCTGTGTGTCTTTCTGTCTCTCTCTCTCTGGCTAGTGCATGCCCCCTATGGCAAATACCTAAAATGAATGAATGAATGAATGAATAAATAAATAAATGCCAAAGTCATTTACTTGTTGAAGAGCTAGTGATATGTTGCCAGTTAGGGGAGAAATAAAAAGTCCCCTTGGCTACACCAGATGCATGCTACTCAAAGTAGCTCTGGGGGGCCAGCTAGGTGGCATAGTAGTTAAGGCGATTGGATTCCACATGGCCTGCTAAATGGTTTGAGCTCAGGACCCAGCAGCTTGAAAAAACAAAAACAAAAAAAAAAAAAAACACAGGGCATGTGTGAGTGCATATACAAAATCCCAAGAGGAGAATGGAGGCGAAGGGATTACAACATGGCCATTCCCCTGGG